TTTCCCTCAGCCTTGCAATTTGAGTGTTTGAAAACATTTCTCAGATATACAACAATGCATTAATTCTTCTTCTTCTTCTAATTATTATTATTATTATTATTATTATTATTAATATTATTATTATTATTATTATTATTGTAATTTAACATCGAGACAATTTTTTTTTTCAAACACAGTATCCATATTGGTAAGGCCCACATGACTTTACTTGAGATCCCAGACCTCCCAGAAAAAATGTAGAGACTCCAGATCTCCCTAAAACAATGTTTTGTCGGATTCACCACTTGCTCTTGCCGAGGTCTGACACTTTTCCCTCCTCTCCCTCTCTGCTTTGCTTTGCTGCTCTGTCTTGTCTGTGAAACTGCTTCTGAGCCTCTCTTTCGTATCTTCCAAACCATAATTATGGACTTGATTTGATCAGTTGGTCCCTCAACACAATTGATAAAATTTCTTTGAAGAGAAGACAGGCTTTAGGCGAGCCAATTTGCCCTGTTGGCATGCACGCAGCTGGATATCTCATCGACTTGAAGACTTGATGATGTGTCCATCTCTGCTGCCATTTGTGGATTTTAAGGACACAGATTTAATTGGATTTACGATAACTGGTTCCTGCTTTTTGAATTCGGCTGGTTGTTGGTTTTATCTACAATCAAGGAAGTCGTTGGCAGCAAATTGGGACCCGATCATGCTGCTTGCCTTATGATGGCTTGGTTCGTGCCTCGAGTACCCAGACTCGAATGCTTTGGGCAGAATGGATCAGATCTCTGGGATTTTACTCAGTCATGCTCCATCGGTGTGGCCATGTAATTTGGACATTTCTGAACCATTTGGTTTAGCACAGACTCAAGGTAGATGTCATTAAGTTCTGCCTTTCCCCCAAACAACTGTGTGTTTATCTGAATTTGACTCCCCTGGCTGGCCTTGAAGTCCACCTTATCCGAATTCGCCTGGAGAACATGTAATCTGACACACCCCCACCCCCGAGGAATTTCCAACTGATCAACAAGAGGAATGTTAAACCCCTACATGGTCTATATTCAGAGAAAATCCCTTCATGAATTTCACCTAAGCTTGCCCCTTCGTGACTGCTCTCTGAGATTCAAGATCTCCCTGTAAGCCCCTATGTGGCATAACCATTGAAAGTCCCTTCGTGACTTCCATAGATATAACATGTTGAATAATGTCAGCTCCTTACAGTCAGTGTGTGGCTTGGCTCTGGTTGGACTCCCATCACCTCCCTTGACACATCAACAGACCTGGCCTCCCTCAAATTTGACTATTTCAGCTAGGGATGCACCAATCCACTTTTTTAAACTTCCGATCCGATTCCCGATACCTAAATCTAAATATCGGCCGATACGATCCAGTTCCGATATCATATAATTGATAATGATATATTGATATTGATATCATTGATTTTATATGAGGCTGTAATAACTTTCTCTCGTACAATTTGTACAAATATATGCATGCATGTCCAAAAAGGCAACTTGAGGTAAGTTTTATTAATGTTGGATAAATTTTAAAGTTAGAATTAAATTCTGCTAACACAAAACATATTTTTTTTTATTCCTAGCTTTAAAGTGGACATTAAAGTGATTAATTTAAGTGATTGTTTAGTCATTTTATATTTTTTTAAATAATGGGCAAATGTAAGAATTTTTTTCTCCTTTCTGCACTCTTTTCATTCAATGTTTTCTTTATGATGAATTTTTTTATTTTGTTTATTTTAAATGAATGAATATATGAATAAAATAAAATGTTAAATGGCTTCAAACACCTGCTAAGTTCATGGCATAAACCAACAGACATGTTCCTGTTTTTAGTATTTTACATCACTTTATAATGTAGCTGTTTTT